TATACTAGGCAGTCCATAACCAGGGACCCCATATCGCTCGATACGTGGTCTGTATTGGGCGGAATGGTTGAAATCGTAATGGTCGGATTTCGATCGATACCAATCAATTGTTGGGATTTGTTGAATTCAAATGGTCCATTTGATCGTTTGAACTAGATCTAAGGGTTTTTAAATCTATTCTACCCTATCATTCTGTCCTCTTTCAATCTCTCAAACTCATCTACACTCTCAATCACTTTCTCACTCACATATTTCTCTCATTCTCTTATTTGCACTCTCTCGAACTCCATAAAGCTACGATTTGTGGATTGGATTAAATTTGGGAGGCTAATTAGCGAGGATTAACATCTAAGTTAGAGGAAGAACTCTTTAATCAAAGATATATAGACAACTTCTCAATCGCATTTAGCAACCTGCTCAGTTGAAAGACATGGTAGCAACGTTGACAACAGTGCCTTGATCACCAATGACGGCGACGCCAAGGAGCCGATGGTCCCATCTACACAGTTTGTGGGTGGTGTATGGACCGAGGAGTAGTATTTTATGTATGCCACCTAAGAAATTCTGATCATGGAGCTCGACGTGATAGTTGGTCATTCTTCTCTGAGCAATAGTACGATGATTAATCTTATGAAATGGAGCAACACATCAGTGGTGAAAGTAGAAGTTTTGACATTTTCTATGCTCTACGCCAATACATGCCACAATCATACTTACCTCATAAGTTGCCTCAGACATGTGGGGTTCACAACGATTAGACTACGACCATCACCACATTGATGCATGGGATTAATTTTGAGATTGGGTCTAATAAACATATCAAATTGATATACAGATACATAGGATCGAGGACCCTAATCCATCGTCTGTGGAGCCCCATCGTTCTTTTTGGTGGTATAACCAGTCGATCAATTATTTGATTTATTTGAATCTTAAAATTTAAGTTGTTTAACAAATAATCTAACAGCTCAAATCATTTCTTTGTAAACAATTCAATCAATAGAAGGATGGTCTAGAACATACTACAAAGCTACTCCTTAGAGCTAGAAAAAGATATGTACCACTATTCTTTCCTAATTTAGATTTTTTTTGCTAAAATTATACTAAATTTATATTTATTTCTAACTTAAAAATCCTAATCTAACTTTTTTTCTTCTATTTTTAGAAATTTTTTGAGCTATTTTCAGTCATTTTTTCATGTCGTCAATATGCCCCATCATACTGACATATGGTATGTTAGTATGAAGTCACACGTACTATACCACTAGCCGGTCGGTACATCGATATGGATTGGTAAGGAGAACCTTGCCTGCACCTATCATTTCCAATGTGCAAAATTTTTGTGATATTCTAATGATGCTCGCACATGCATTTTATGATCTAATGGCTGTTTCTTAGTGATGATGTCAATTCAAAAGTAATGTTTATGCACATCAATTGAAACAGCTGTTGAGTGTGAATCATCTGAACATTTTATTTTCAGTATTCCCCATTATTTTGTCTGTAAACAGGCAGGGAGTGGTCCTGTGTGCTAAAATTTCACATTGGAGTCCGAAGCCTTCAGAATGAGATACCCAACTTTTTGAATCAACACTGGATAAGCTTAAAGTAAATAAAGAAGAAGGGGGAGTGGTAGTGGATAGAGGAATGACAAATTGGAGTAGTTGAGGCTGGAACTCCTGTCCAGTCTTTCTTCTTTTTTGTTAAAAGAAAAAGGAATCTGCCTTCACATTTAATGTGAACAAATATACTGCTAGTGGAGTAATCGAGTTTTGGTTCTTGTAAGGAGATGGACAGAAATGCAAATTAACTAAAACCATGGAAAAAAATGAAAGGAAAACTAGGGGCCTTATTGAACATTCTTGTTATAGCAAGTGATGCTTTGAAGAAGGCAATTTCTTTTTAATGGCTTTATATGGGCCAGGATGAACCCCTGAGTTTGTACTTCCTTCTTTGCCCTACATTTCTCAGACAGTTGCATCCCTATAATGGGGTTTTCTTTGATAAGGTTTAGGTATGTTAATGAAGGGACAAAGACTGTACTTTTCTTTCACCTTGCAATAAAAGCTAGGTGGTTTTCTTTGTTTTCTATAATGCATTTGTGATGCTTAAAAATGCTTCATTCATTTGAATTTTTGCAGATTTTTAATAACTAAAATTACTTTAGCACATCTGTACCTTAGTTTCTTATTGATGAAGATAAAGATAATTATAATTTGCGTACTTGTTAGAAATCTATGCATGTCCATTAGTTACTGAGAAGCCATCATTTGAAGTTCAGCAGCTGTAAGTACTGAATTTGAAGATTAGTATTATAGCAAGTCCATGGTTGTGAACTCCATGAGTTCTTTTAATTAAATTGTTTTTGGGTTCTTTTGTTGGTGCAGACACGGAAGATACATGGAAGTCACAGAATTGGCAGTGACAAATACAAATCAAGAGAGGAGGTCTCGTCAGGTCTCCAAATGGATCTCTCTAGAGGAACAGCAGAGAATGGTTTCCTTCATAGTGGTCCTTTGATGCACTCTGGTCGTTTGTCTACTACGGGACTACCCATTGGCCCAGAAATGAAAACACATGTATTACCTCACGGCAGGACAGCAGACTTGCCCATCACATCAGGTCCAGTGGTTGCAAGAAGCAATACTGCAAGGTTGGACCGTAGGCAGAGCGCAAAGCACATGCATATGCCAGGGAATCAAGCAAGCTCCAAATACTTCCATCGTGATATTGCTGATTCATCTAAGCAAGAGTGGACTCACCACTTGCTGGATGGCCCTTCTGCTTCTCATAGGAAGGATGACAGAACGGGAGACAAGGAATCAACAATTGTAAGTGCTGATAATACAACAGAAGAATTGGCTGAATGACAAACTTTTCATTAGATGGTTTTCTTAAATTAAAATAGATGTCATGCAGGCATTCTCGTTTAATTATAGCTTTTATAATAAGGCAGTTAGTTTCTCAACCACCATAGAGCACTTGTTTGTTTTACGTTACCTTCTGAAGATCCTGTAAAATCAATTTTCTTTTCTTAAGCTGTATAAAAAGTCAAAATTAGAAATGTATAGGAGCTTTCTAGGGTAGAGAACTTGGAACATAAGATTGATGAGAGGCCAAGTTTTTTTTTCTTAAACTTAACTATTCTTGTGATTAAAATTTCAGCTCGTGGATTTACAGATTTTATGTTTGTAGTGATAAATGTTATATTTAACTGTGGTTTCTTTTGGCCTTTCTAGGGTATTTATCTCATCATTCTGTCTCTGATCATGTAGGACATGCTTGAACCTCCCCTTCAAATTTTCTTATTTTTCTGGTTATGAAAATATCATAGATATAGTAGAAACTAGAAACTACACTGCTGGACTCTTGAAGCTGATGATACTATACCATCTTAAACCATTGCAATATCGTCTGCTATTTTCAGTGTTTTATACATTTCTCCCTGTAGTTAAACACTGATTTCAATCATCATATATTTTGCCGCATGATTCTTCTCTCACATAATTGTGTTTGCCAATTCTTTTCAGGGGCATGGACCTAAGAAGAACCGTATTCATTATTCTGGACCTTTGATGCCTCCAGGGGGCAACATAGAAGAGATGCTCAAAGAGCATGAGCAACAAATCCAGCAGGTTGTACGCAGAGCACGCCACGACAGAACCAAGCCCAGGAACCATGGAGACCGAGCTCAGCTCGAAGCCTTACTGTGCGCTAGCAGGAACGGCAGGTCAGATCACTAGGCGACTTCGAACTTATGTTTTATTTTATCTTGAGGGGAGGACACGATTGGACCGAGTGGTGAAGCACATGATTGCCAAAGCGTTGTGTAAAGATCTGACGACGCGGACCAATTGTTAACATGTGACTGGTTTGGAAGCATGGGTTCCTGATTGTTTTGATATCTGATGGCCTCTCAGAAGGAGATTGTGTTTTAGCATCAGTTTTAGATGGATTCAACACTGGTGGCTTTAGCTGCTCAGTCTGTAGGTGAAACCCATCGGATGACCATCAACTGTATATATGATCAAGGAGCTATATTTATGGTTTTCTTGGGCAACTTGTCCCCCCATCCTACACAAAAACGAAAAAAACAAAAACAAAAAGAAAACCATCCTATCTGTAAGTCTTTGTACTGAATTTATATTTGAGCACAGAAATTTGAATCTCAGATTTGAGACCAGTTTCAACTATCAATCACATCAGTTTGGTGCTGGTACTATCTGGTATCATAAAATCGATAAAAGGCTAATTATCCATCAGTATCAGTTCTTGGTTGGAATATTTGGTAGACACAAATATTTGGGAAGCTGGAATGTCTTATAAAGCAGTACACGTGTGGTACATTTGTGCTCCACTGAAAGTGAATGAACGTGTGTAGCAAAATCTGAGTCTGGTATTTTGGATTCTGTGATTGGATTGCGATTTTTGCTTAACCTTGTGATTGCTTATCCTTCATATGGATTGTGTAACAGATTGGAGCAGTATCACAAGTAGGATTAAGACTATGAACATTTTGACTTAAAAATGTCAATCTTGAGGACTCTAAAATCAAAATTACTTCTACTGGACATGATTTAGAATTTAGAAATTAAAAAAAAAATGTCAAGCGTTTTATCCTCCTTTTCATTAGGAAAATAAAAAAAAATGAGAGATTTTATTGACAAACCATATTGCTTGGTAACACGAATTTAAAGGAACATAATAGTGTTCAAAGAGAGGATTGGAAAAGGAAAAACACCTCCTCCTTCCTCTTCTAAAAATATCACTCTAAATATTTTCTAATAGAAAACCAACACAGTAATATAAGCCAGTCAATTATATAATTATAGCATATTTCTAGCTTTTAATATACCCTCAGAACAAAAGAATGTGAGACTATCAGCCCATTACTTTGCTAGTGTTATTAAAGTCATCAAGTTGCCAATACCACATACTGAAATTATATAACCAATGCAATCGATCAAAAATTTCAATCTTTCCACTCTACCAACCAGATATTGAAAGGAACTTTGGAACATTTTTCTCTATATACAACAAAAATTTTAATCATGAACACATACATCAGTAACAGAAACCCTGACCAACTTGACAGTGGAAAAGAAAATTTTGGGTTTAATAAATTAGTGTGGTTGCACAGACAGCTTATATGAAACTTGCTGCTATTTAATTTTGTCTCCGATGCAAACCTCCCTAAATAAAAACATAAATTACATCTCCAACCTCCTCTTTGTTTTCTACATGTTCAGTGAGAGCTTTGCCGCCACAAGATTTTGGATTTCGAATATTGTTGGCTTCACAAGCTAATAGGATGATCAGCTGATACTGCCAACAAATGCCAAAATGTAAGCAAGTTTAACGAGAGCTCTTGTAAAGTATTTTTCTTCCAAGCTCTGGTATGTGGTGTCGGCTTACGGATCACAAAGCTACAACTAATTCTGAACTGAGCCTTGAATCATTGATGTGAGGGATGGGAACACACGGGCTCTTTTCAGTGAACGGGCTTCACTTTTTCCCTGTGAGTACTCCTCACCCAACGGCCACCTTGGACGCAGCTCAAACTGTCAATGAAAGTCAAACAGTTAAAAGAATAATTTAAATGTCGCATTGGCTACATGCAGAATACTTATTGGATCAACAGGTTAGCAGATACATATGAAGTATGGGCACGTTATAGATACCTATACAATATGATACAAAATATATATGACGACAATGCAACAAACCAAACAGTAGATTTCAACTAAACATAGAGCTTTTGTATTCTATACATACACCAAATAGCATGTCCTTAAAAATATTCATGCTTTTTAGATTGATTATAAACAATGATATAAGACAAGCTCATGATGGCAACAAATTGTATTACAGGTACAGCTAAATGATTTTATATGGGATAGCCAGTCTGAACTCACTCACCAAAAAATTGCTTGGGATAGCCAGTCTGAACTCACTCACCAAAAAATTGCTTGGGATAGCCAGTCTGAACTCACTCACTCACCAAATGATTTTATATGGCAACAAATTGGAAGTCATCATGTAAATGCAATCGACAACAAATGCTTTACTTCTGGATCATCAACAGAAGCATAATTCTTTGTCTAGGATAAGTTGCATTACCAAGTAAACAACTCACAATAAAGAATATATCTGCCAAGTAAACAAAATCATACCTACACCAGTTAAGAATGAACAAGGAGATTCAGTGCAGCTACAAATCTAATGCTAGGAAGTCACACTTGTGACTTACTCATCTTTATATTGCTCTTCATAAGTCATAATTATATCAGATATTCTTGAACCGCTACTACAAACCTGATGGATTCTTCCTCCCTTGATACATAGTATTGATAGTTTTTCTAGGCCAAGAAAAACCATTCTTGCAGAACCTTCTAACTTTATAAAAAAAGAATTTATCTTCACTCTTCATGGCATCCTCACATCAAATTTTAATATGCATCATCTCAATACGTTTCCATGATCATACTCCCCCAAACTTTAACATAACAATTTCTATGTATGAAGATGGCAAACTCTGGTGTAAACTTCTAAGAGTTGGATTGATCAGATTGACCTGGCTTGGCTGATCAAACAAATGTCCAAACTATTGAAAGGGTCTCATTTCAGTCAAATGAGTTTTCCAGCTCTCCTTCCTTTTCTTTTGTCAGATCTCTCTCCACAATTTTGCATCAATGTTGATTTAGTAAGATACCATCCTCCTGAGAGGTGCTAAGCAAGGATCACTGTGTTGATTGACACATGCTGATACAAGTCAAAATGTACCATGAAGACATCGACTCAACATATTGACTTGTGCTAGAGCTGTGGACTTTATTACTAGGCTAATTTTGACAATTTCACACCCAGAAAAGTGGCATGCCCACAGGAACGATACCAAATGGTACTGTGGCAAAAAGGTATTGGTAATTTGGTACATCTTCATGCCACCAAGCTGCAATCCTTGGTTCCAAACATGTCAAGAATGAAGATGATGCTCTTATCTGTTGCTGACCAATTTCATCTTTCTCCTTTCCTATGGAATCAAAAGTCTATGCTGCAATTAATGGTGTCAAGGAGAGAGAACCTGGAAAGAGTAATGCCGTCTTTTGGCTGAAAGCTAGCAAGAAAGGGACTGATAAAGCCTTCCTAATCACTGAACAAACACAACCTTTAGCAGCTTATTCACCTCCACCCTAGTGGAGATCTCCCATATCTGCAGAGAAGCTAATGCAGCAGCAGACTAGCCATTAAAGCAACCTATTCGCTCAAGTAGATGCCACATGGGAATTTACATTCACAAGAAATGCTACAAATTGCTGAAGAACTGCACTTATATCTTTTATAACTGATATAATATGTAAATGGTCACAACCACTAGATGATTTAAGCATGTTCCTCATAATTAAAAAGAATCATAGGACAAACCATAGCATCTTCAGGCTCGTCAGCAGGTGGTGGAGGATCAAATCTTCCTAAAAGAAAGTGCTCTATCCCAGTCCAAGCAACCATAACACCTATTATGATCATCAAATTGATTTTTGTCAAAATTAGATGTTCAAAGCAGATAAAACAACATTGAAAACCAAACGTTCTTTGCTCCTAAATTTCATAACTTGAACAAAAAAGCAAACATCATGAGCCCAAACATGTCAAAAAAATTGGAACATGCACATAACTATCCTTTTGGAACCATCCTAAATTACCTAGATATGAACATACTGCCATTACAAACATATGACAACACATACTTCATGTTCCACAACAAGGAATGGGCATATTACAGTAAATCTATTACATGTACTTGTGCAAGTTTCATAGTAATTGAAGTGTCTAGGCAGGTGACTTTGGCCACTCAAGCAGTTCATTTGGGCAGTAGGAAGAACAGCACTTTCAAAAGCATTAGCATCTCAGCTATGGTATATCATACTACAGTCATGTCAATTACCCAAATTATGAAAGAAATCATGAAGCTTCCATACCATTGTCAGTGCAAAGACTTGGAGGAGGGCATACAAGTTCTAAGCCACTATTCTCTACAACATGACTCAGACGAGCTCTGACATACTTATTTGATGCAACACCTCCTGAAACAACCTACAAGATACAAGGGAAGTAAACTATGCATGTATTATGAACGAAAAATGGGCACGTTTCAGTTCAAAACAAAGTAACAATTCAGGTACCAAATATTTAATAGAAGGTTCAATCTTCAATGCCCATTCAATTGCTCGCTGACATCTCTCCTCTAGATGTAATACAGCAACCCTCTAGATAAAGCATTTAGCTTGAAGCTACATTATACAATTTAGCAAATAATTTAACTTCTCAAGGAAGTGTACCAACCTGGAAAGAGGCAGCAATATCTGCTCGAGATCTTCTATCATCCAAATTTGCCAAAGAAATGGGATTATGCTCCATGCTTCTGCAGATAACATACAAAGAATTACCTTTTAAAGGATAAGATTATAAAACGTAAAGAGGGTTGCTTAAAGAATGAATGTATAAAATCCTCTCTAGATTCTGAACTAACTTGGCGATATGTCTATACCATATTACAAAAAGGCTACGAACACCTCACCAACTCATTTCAAAGAGATTTTTGTCTCAATTTCTGATGTCATGCATATCCAGATACAAAGGACATTGGTCTTATGCCTCTGAATCAGCAATAGTGCCTTTATCTTAGAGGTATTTATGAAAGAATGAAAAAAAATGATGTTGCAGTGTTACTGTATCTGACCAGCACTTAATATTCATCTGAGATTGTCTAATTTTAAATGCCTTGAAAGCCATCAAAAATATGTCAGTGTTCTATGCATTACAAGAACCAAAGGGATTCCATGAATCATATGAATGCAGTATTCCACAAGTGGACTAAGCATGTTTTTAAATGGATTTTCACAACATCACCATCATTGACTTGATGGGTTTCTAAAAGTACTTACATTCTGCATTATTTTTACAAAATTGAAGAATGCTTGAGATCTTTTCTTGTTGACAAAATTGGAATAGAAAGGGTGAAGAATTCTGATGAGAAGTCAACTTCAATATCATGGCTCATAAACATAAAATTCACCACATGTGGTATAGAACCATAGATCATTTTTTTCCTCTCTGTATGCTTCTTCTATGTCTCAAATTACATATCAAATGCAAGTGCCATACAGACAAGGCAGTTCCTTGCAGATCCTTTTGGATTAACAAATTATTTCAAAATGATTCTGTCAGGTCCTTTTTTATAATGTAGATTTCACAACAATATTGTGGCACCTTCAAGTAGACAACCACAGATCTCCATTGTCAGGGCCACGTATAAC